CACATTATGTTCATTGATATGTAAATTTCTATGTAAATTTTAATGTCAGCATACCTTAAATACTTATGTGTCTTTTGAGTGTCACCATTCTCAGAGATCCAACAAAGTAGTCTGCCAGAGGGTAGTCATCTGCCAGATTACTAAACTCAATCAGATCTGTCTCTTTGGTTGGACATGCCATGAGCTCAAAGGCTCTGTGGTGCTCACTATACAACCCAGAAAGTCTCTTAACCACAAAAACCAGTCTCTCTTGTATGACAAAAATGTGATCAATCTGTCCAAACTCAGGTAGCCAACTGGTAGACCCATGAGCTACAACCATGCCCTTTCTGAAACGTATACCGTTGGTTGTCACAAATGTAGTCATGTGTACCTCTCTTGTGCCAGGAAACATCTGTTCAATGTTCTCCATTATTTCTTTTTTTAGAACACTGACAGGTACAGTTGAGACACTTGTGATCTCAAAAGCAGGTTTTTCAAAACTTGATGCTGTCATGTATTAAGAAATCATGAGCTGGTGCTTGACAGCTAGTGTGAGGGGCACATTTTTGAAGCAGTTTGAATGTCGAATGACCTGCTTAAAAAAGCTGTGCTTGGCCTCATATCGCATGGTCCAGAGACTAACAAGAGGACCAAACTTCCTGATGAGTACTGGATAGTGCTCCAAGTAATGATGCTTGGGGAGAAGCTGCATATCAGGAAAGAGTTCTTGGTATCTTTTGCGATGGTCTGAAATTTTGCACTCAAGGTAAGCAATGGATTCCTCAGTGTGTGTTGGAGCAACCAAAAGCTCTACTACATCTTTTAAATCCATCAGAATTTGCCAAGCCTTGTCACCCTCTGGCACCGAATGTCCAATTATGAATGGGAGAAATCTTAGCAGGGCCCAGTTCTCATGGGCATTCCCCCCAATTGTTTTAGAGAATGTGTGTGGAATTGCATGAGGCTTGTTAGTCTTGTCTGACCACTTGTACGGAAAACCAAGGATGGATTTGTTAAGATGCTCAAGACTAAAATATTTCTTGGATATTAACACTGACAAACACTGTGCAAGCTCCACAGGCACAATACCCTCGAACACATCATGCATGATATCAGGGGGATAACCTGAGAGAACATTAAAGTGAGCAAGGTTTTTAGTGAACACACACTGTCTTTTGACCCCAAAACAGCTTGAACCATCCTTCTGGGCAGAGTTCACATGTGTTTCATGTAGCACTTTGGTTCTCAGAATGAATGAACCTGATCTCACATCTTTTGTTTGAATTTCTTTTCGTGTTGCAGTGCAGAATCGGCATATGTGCCCTGTGGTAAAGCTTTCATTAAAACCTGCAATACTGTGAGCACCAAGGTTATCAGCAAGAACAACTTGAACTGTGCCTTTAACACACCCACCGAGCAAAGGAACAAAAATTCCATCTTGCTCAAGGGTTTTTAAATCTTGAAGAAGTGGTTGCAAGACTTGGTCATAACCATACTTCTTCACATGATCAGATTTGCTCAAGACTGCCAAGTAAATCGGGGAAAGTACTGAATGCAATCCTGGAGGCAAATTACTCAGAGTCCAGTAGATTCCACAGAGCTTGTGTTTTCTGCGTGAAGTACCCAAAGGATTGCATACCTCGAAGTCATCTACGTACAACGTCAGCAAAATTCTCAACTCATCCCCTGAAAGGAAACAGTTTTTCTTAAAGTGAGACCCATCCTGAAATGACTTGAAAGTATGCTGTTCTCCAGTTATCCCATTACTCTGGCAGGCTCTATGGTTCTCACTGATCGTACCCACAACATCCTTCCTATTCAAAAGCTGTTGCAAACTCTTCAGTATAGGCACATACTGGCAGCTTTTATTTTCCTTTTCATCAAGCATGTACTCAACAGGCTCAATGACATTTAAGTTCTCTCTGTAAAAGTTGTTGCGGAGATATGATGTGCTCAAACAGCCACCCTCACCTATAGCTTTAAGCAAGGGGTGAGAGGCTGAGAGGGCTGTGGCTACTTCAGTTGTCACTGACCTATCAGATGTGGAACCATGTTTCCTGAGTATATCTTCAATAATGTCTACAGAGAGAGGAAATGTGCCTGCGCTTAACAAATAGTGCAGTTCCTCGAGAAACTCATCCATTTTTGTGGCTGGCACATGAGCAAAATGTTCAAGTTTGAATAAAGCTGCAGCTAAATTTTGCTGAATTGTGTCAGGCAGAGTCTTACTTAAATCTACATCTTCACTTAGAAAAGCACTGTTTATTTCCATTGCAGAGTCATCCGAGTTAAGTGCATCTTGCTCTGCATTGCCAGACAACTCTTGAGAAAGTCCAGTTGTAGTCACTATGCCTGGTTTGAAATCATTTAGCGTATGGGGTTGTGTTTCCTGTTCTTGTGAGAGTGATATGTTCCGTAGATATTTGTTTTGTAATTACAATCCCTGAAAACACAGGCAACAGTTTCATGGCTCTTGAAATGAATGCCTAAATGTGAGAAAAAATCTCTCTCAGTAGAAAGACTACTACAAGTGTACAAAGGACAACTAAATGCTGTCAATTCCAGAGGCTTCTGAGAAGCTGGTTTGGAATGAAGTCTTGATAGGTGGATGTGCAAAGCATTCAGCGTCTTGAAATTACACAGGCAGTTTGAATACAGTCATGAGTAGTGTTGCCTATTGCGGTGCATTAGTCTTATGTGTTTGAGAAGCTCATACCTACTCTGAAAATACAAACTGCACTCCTTGCACCTCCACATAACTCAAGAGTAAGGATTAGCCAAGCTTATCTGGATATATCACATCTGTTTGCAAATTTCCCCTTTTCATGTCATTCTTACATATTTACTTACAGTGTAAGTAAATAGGCTTAGGCCTGTCACTGGCAGATGACCCCCTTTTCTGGGACACTTTTGCGAAGGGATGGCAGTTGAGGTGAATGGCTCCACACACTTGGTCTTGAATTTCTGTGATGACCAGAGAGAGAGTGAGAGAGAGTGAGAGAGAGTGAGAGAGAGTGAGAGAGAGAGAGAGAGAGAGAGATTTATAGGGAAGATGTGTCTGTGTGTGTGTGTGTCTGACCACTCATTAGTTGCTATGTAAACAAACACTTCTTGAAAATTTTGTTACACTACTATATAATTGCAAAGTGAACTGATACATGCAATCTAATTTTTTTGCCATAAATAAAAGAGGATAAAATCAGAGATACCCTGATTCACTTTCTTTCAAGTGTTCAACATTGATAGTTAATACATACATTGGTAGATGACTCTATATTGCAGTCACTCAGCTGATGAAACAGGTTTTGCTTGATGACAGATAACTTGGTCTTGAATTTCTGTGATAAAAACAGAGAGAAATCAGAGAGAGTGTACCATTTTCAAACTGTTAACACAAATATGGAGGACACTGGATTTTTCATCTGCTGTATATACAATCACACATATTACAAAAATGCTAAAAAGAAAGCTGTGTGTATGTCATCTGGCCATTTAACTAACTCTGACACAAATCTTAAGTATTGCAAACACTAGGACACCCAGTCTCTCCTCTTACAGTCACAGCACGCTAAAAGGAGCGCATCAAAATACAAGTAATTTTAGTACTTTGATCATGACAACTCAGGAATAATCACAGAGTAATATTGCTATTAATAAGTTACAAAAATCTACTAGTTTGACAGCCCAACTAAACACATATACAAACACTATACTAACTATGGTTAATCATGATTAATCACAAATGACTCACACATCTTTATCTGCTCCAAACATACCTTAAAGTGGAATTTTTCCAAATAAAAAAATACTCTAATTAATTTGAGTGTGAACACATGCTCTTTTTAATTCCCATTTTCAAATTAAATTAAAGTTTAAAGTTAAATTATAGATTAAGCTACAGTGGATTGAAAATTCTGACTACCAGTCAAAATATATTTAAATAGCCCCAATAATATCTCACTGAACACAAAACAAAGATGTCAATAAATTAAATCATATTCCTGACTTTAAAACACAGAGTGAGGTTGTTTCAGAGCTTGTAAGATTTTAAATTCGTGGCAAAGTAAGTTAAATTGTTAGATGACAACATATTAGAGTGATTCAATAATTAGAGGCACATTTCAGATAATAAATGGGAAAAAATCACAGTGTTGTTTCATTTGACATTCTATGTTTCTATCTAGCAGAGGCCTGTAAGATAGGCTCAGGGCTTAACAGATTAACCGGACTCCGCTAATGCTAATATGACGCTAATGCTAATATGACGCTAAGCCCACGTAGAATATATCACACGACGAAAACATTCGGTTACGAAAATAATCGTTCAAAATCATAGAGCGGACAACAAAAAGTTATGTGACATTTCTGTGCAGTGGTTTATTTGTTAAATCGATGGATGGTAAATAATTTACTTAGCGACTTCTCCAACTTCTCAGCTCTCCCGCCTCTTTTTCATCCATTGCTCTGCCTTCTTCTGCAAGTTCCAGAAGTAAAGTTTGTAAATGTACTCCCTGCTGGCACACTACTGCCACCTTCTGTTCTGAAGCTGTAAACGCCATTTGATATCTTACCCAAAAAGCATTAGGTTCTGTCAGCATAACTGAATTTAGTAAATGTTAAGTTATTGCACATCATGCTAAAATAACATGACTTAATGATGTTCAACCACAAAACATGACTATATACGGTAGAAGCAACATGTTACACTTAGATTAATTTAGCAGACACCCAATCTGTTTTTTTTGAGTGAAGGAGGTAAGACTGGAATGACTAAAGCTGGAGAAATCTGCAGCTCATGAACACGGTATTCTTTAGCCAACTGGTTCCCGATTTTACCAAAATGACTCTTTCCACGGGCTGCAGGGTGGTGCAGTTGGTAGCACTGTTGCCTCATAGCAAGAAGGTTGCCGGTTCGCGTCCCGGTGGGGGCACCGGAATCTTTCTGCATGGAGTTTGCATGTTCTCCCCGTGCAGCGTGGGTTCTCTCCGGGTTCTCC